CCAATAAAAAACATTGAAATAAAAAAATATTGAAAATTCTTATGTTCCACTTCTTCAGTTTCCATTTCGATTTTTTTTCCATTTTATTACCATTTTAATCTTCTTGGTTTCCATTGCAGAATTTTTTAAAAGAAAATATTTCATTTTTATATTGTTGTTACATTGTTTGATAAAAAATATTGCTGACAGTGTATTTATTACAAAAATATTTGTACATACCAAAACTACATAATATTATATAAATTACATAAGAGTGCACATACGTAATAAGTATGTACATTGAATAAAAAAAATGCAGATAAAACTAGAATATTTATATGAAAAAAGGATAAAATGTGGCAGAAAAATTTTAAGAAATAAAAAATAATAACCGGAACAAGAAAAAAAACCTAATATAATGACAATATTGGTTTCATTACTACACTTTCTTCAAGTCGATTTCAAAATATATTGGGGGTAATGACAACAATGACATAAACACAAACAAATTCCAATAGAACATAGAAACTCTGCAGATGACCCACATTTCTAAACCGATATTTCATCAAAAAGTAATAATGCCATATATATGTAATAATAAACTTAAAATATAAAAATAGATAGAAAAATGAACAAAAGAAAAAAACACAATAATAAAATCAAAATTAGAAAAAGAAATCTCAATAAAAAAAGGACAACACTTGCAAGACGAAATAAGACACAAAAGCGATATGACAAAAGCACAACAACCACAAGGCGTTAGAATTTTGTGAAAGATGAAGAGAAAAATAAAAGAAAACAAGAGAGGAAAATACTTGATCATGCCAACTATGAGATAACCAAAACACATTATGATTTAATGAAAGAAAAGAACTAATTTACCCTATAGTGCCCTATAGGGTAAGTTGGTAAAACGATTTTTATCAGATATTCAATATAAAATGAGAAATATAGCGATAACTATAGACTTCTTAGTAAAAATACAAAAACTTATATTATGTAAAACATCTTTAAAACATCTTGATTTGTTTCTTTAAAACATCTTATCATAAACCTCGTTGAAACTCATTGAATAATCTTTCAGAACTCAATGAATAATTTATTGGGAATGACAACCTAGTAAATTTGTCATAAATTGATTAGGTATAAAGAAAATTTTATATAAAAGTAAATGAAATGTCAGAAATTTTGTGTAATAAATTTAAATTCTATAGGAAGAATAGCCCAGTGTTTTAATATTATTTTAGCAATTAAGAATTGGGGTATTTTCGATAATTCAATTGTAGAATAATTCTAACTTGTAAAACGTTCGAAATTGTAGAACGTGCCCACAATATAGATCGTTTGCAAAATACTTGGTATAATAAAATGCGTTCGATAAAATAAATTTCATTCTGTAATAAAGAAAGGTCAGAAATGTAGAGCCGACATCTAGTTTGGATTTTTTCGCTGCTTAATAAGATTTTTGTTTTATTAAATTTAAAAATTTTCTTAAATTTATGTCATTTTTGCCCTTTTCAAACGACTGATTAGTTTGCAGTTTCTGAATTTGCAGACTGCGTAAACTTTAAAAATCTTTACTGAAATTCTTGCGTATTGTGTGTAACATTCAGCTTAGAAATTTAAATTCTAATGTAGAACTTTCAGCGCAACGTGCATACACGAAAACCCATCTAGTTTTTACTTTTCATATTTGTAATTAACTTGAATATGTTTGCATTGAACAAGATTGACTAAAAACCTGCATCTGCTTGTAAATGCGGAAAACAGACATTATAAATCAAAAAATTATTTTACTATATACTGCACTACGTGACTTAGAATGTTGCCATTATACATTGCTGCAGCAATAAAAGTAAGTTGACAAAAATTCAAAAACAAAAAAATATGTGATGTGAGTACCCAAAAAAATTTTGCAAAACTGTGCCATTTAGAGGCTGTAAATTTATAATGCTTTAAAAGCGATTGTATAACTACAATGTTACAATTTTATATTTTTTTTTTTTTGGGAAAATTTTCTGTCAATGTCTACAAATATGGTTTAATTTATGTTTGAATGAATTTTTGATTGTTAAAATGTTGTGCAATATGTAATCACCAAATATTGACGTTATCATTATAATGGAGTGTTCGTTTATTAAATTATCAATGAGGTATATTCATATATACATGTATAAGCATGGGTAACAGAGGTTCATATTGTAGGAAAGAAGAAAACAAACGGGATAAAAGAATAAGTTTTTTGTGTAATTTAAAATTTAAAGTAAATTATTTATTTTTTAAATTAAAATTATTTTTGGAAATTGAACTTTAAATATTTAAAAATATGTTACAAATTTTTGAGAAAAGAAATGATTGTGAGAAATTTTTTTTATTATTAATTATTTTACTAATGGCTAACAGGATTAATGCATAAAGTTTCATTTAACAAAAAAAAATATATTAAATAGTTTGACAAATAAGCCCTGTTATCGGAAATGTGTTTACGACTTCGCGAACACAATATGTTACATCTGCAATGTGACAGCGAAAATTCTACATTGTTTCATGATGGCAGTTCAGCTCATAAAGCAGAATGTGTTTTACGACCAATTTTTGCAGGTTTCGACTGGTTTTTGCCACTAATATGCTGTCAAATCTGATTAATTCACATGCTATTGTTTTATCTTGAAACAACGACAATGATTATTTAAATTTACGTGTTTTTTTAGACATTATGCCAGAATGAAAATTAATGAGCTTACATTTCCCATATTACCGAGGATCTCGACAAATTGCTGTGGGAAATTAAATTTCCTTCGTAAATTTTTTTTATTACCAATATTTTTTCTATCATTAAATTTTTCCCTCTCTACTCATTTTAACGGTACAAATACTAAATTTAACAGCTCTCAGAAACTAAGAATATGCAAAAAGGATTTTTACTAATTGAACTTGAGTACAAATTGAATTTGCACATTATTCACATATTCAAGTGTACCCTATGCATAGAATATATCTATGTATTTTAGTTCTTTGAATTTTATTCCTTCAAGAAGTGTTCACAAAACCGTTGATTTAACGCTCAATTCCATTTTAATGGAAATTTTTCCAAAAGACTTGCTAAACTTGGATCAATAATTAAAAAATAAAAAAAAACTTTTTATAAATTTTCTTTCTCTACAATTATTTGAACTTTTTTTTTCGTAATTAAATCTTTAATTTTAATTTTTTCTTATAATAAAATTTTATTATCATTAAAAACTTTAATATTAATTCGTTAAATTTTCCATTTATTCTATTTCAGCAATAATTCTGGAAATTTGAAACTTGGTAAGAATTTCATTTCTCATTTTATCATTCATTAAAAATTTTTTCCAATTTTTCTTTGCTATTTAAAATATAAGCAATTATTAGAAAAAAAATTATTCATATTTTGTGAACGTTCTTAAATAATTTTCCAAGTACTTCAGAAACTTACAACACTTGAACAAATCTAAGGAATTTAATATTAAAATGTAACATTGAGTCCAAAATGATTTAAAAATTTAAATGTGGTTTGTTTTCAATTTGACTAAGTTTCTTTTATTCTTAACATTATATTTTCGCTCCCATTCAAACGTATATGTATGTATATTGTATATACAAGCTGTAAGCATATAATGTAAAAGTATTAATTTGTTAACGTCCACTGTTATACACTATATTTAACATAAATAATATGTATATCATATTTATATACATATATGTAACTACGAGTAGGTATGTGGTTATTCGGGAAAGTTTTTCATAATATAATTTTTAGTGCTTAGCCAATTTATTTGAGTTTACTATGTACGTAAATTATAAAAGTCTGACTTTTTTTTCTAATAAGAATCAGCTGTTCATAACATAATCACAATTAAAAGAATTTAAAGACCAAATTAAATTTTAGTCTGAATACTACCCCACTAAAGTATTTCTCTCATTATTTCGAAAATTATTATGGAGTCTCAAGAGATATTGCTGAAATTTTTTAAAAACTCTTTGTTTTTATTTTAACTAAATCAGTAGCATTGAAAGAACCTTGCATAGAAATTTTACAAGAGACAAACTTAATACGCCAGTAATCTATAATATTTCTAGCGCTATATTCAAACATAATTAACTTCTTTATATCATGACAAGTTAATCATATATAAAATTGGTACTTTAATTTGTATTTCAGTGATATAAAATGAATTCCAACAATTAATCTAAAAATATTTTGCAATATTGACAATATTTTTATATAGGTAAGTACGTAAATTTGAATATTCTGAATTGTAACCGAATAGAATTGTATAGTTTTAATTCACTTATAACGCATAATACAATCAAATTTTCGCCACTTATTTATTTTAAACAAACTTACAATGATGATGACAAATGATTAAGAACAATTAAAAAATAGAAGAAGGGTCACTATTAAAAAACTCATATCTTAGATAAAAATCATATTTTAAGTGCCTAGGCTCTTGCGAACTATATACACTAGCTCTAATTAAATACATCAGTTTTGCGCAAGGGACCGAAATATTTTTACGGTGTAGACAGGTTTTCAAAGGATAGACTGTGTTTGTTAGACTAAAATTCAACATTTTTTAAATTTTTGATCTTTAGAGTATTCGTAAAATATTCTTCGTGATAATTTTTGTTCAATTTCAAAATATTTTGTATATCCATTTCCTCAAAGAAAACTATAAGCCAGCACAGAAATAAAAATCAGTTTTGACATAGACAGGTTAAATATATTCAGAAAATATTTTGATATACATAGTTTTATTTGAAATGTACTTCTTTTTGTTTCGAATATTAGAGTTGCAAAACAGAAAACTCCATTTAAAAGCAGTTCTATTTACAAGGTGGTTAATCAACTGATTTCTGACACATCCCCTTAATATTAAATCATTTTTTATATCTTGTTAAATTTATATTTTTATAAAACTTATATTCGATATGTTAATTAAATATATTTTTGCTGTATTTACAAATCAAATAAAAATATATATTTAAAAACTTACCTTTTCGGTTGATCCCTCTTCAATGTAACAGCAACTTGTACACGTAAATTTAATATTTGACCCATATCGTTATCATTAATATCACTTTTAAAACTATTTATAGGAACTAAACGTCTTGCTGGACATTTTCGTGTCAATAATGCGGACGATGATCCGGATGACGAAGTTAATGTAAATTTTGATTCACAATAAGCACAATTCAAAATAATTAAAAATAAAATTGTAAAACTATTGTAAATGATAATTTGTAATTTCACCATATTGCAATTATTATTTTTTATTTCAAACAAATATTTTAAAATTATAAAAACTCTTGTAAAATAAATTTGTAAAGAAATTTAACTTTTTTTTTTTATTTTGTTTTTACTTTTTTTTTTATATCAATATTATTAATTTTCTCTTCAATAATATTTATTTATAAATTCTGAAAATGTCTATGAACTTTGTCCATTAATTTTTTTTCTTTTTTATTATTGGTATTGGTATTCTGTATCAACAAAACTTTCCAAATGACAGCACAAAAGCCTCCTCTCCTTTCTTTTTTATTTTAATCTATCAAAAAGTTTAAAAGTGTTTTATTTTGACAGTCTTTTTTAAATCAATTTTTGGAAAAGGATCTATCCATAAAAATTGACTTCTCAACATTAATATATACATATGTATGTAGGTGTTGGTATAAATGATATTATTACATATATACATATAGAGGCATACATATATGATATAAATATGTACAAATAGAAACTAAAATGCCACATGTACGTACCAAACATATATACATATAAAATTACTAATGATAAAAAAGAAAACAAAAAAAAACAAAGGGCGCAGATTGTCATTTAATATCACACACACATGTCAGCCTATCATGTATAATATAAAAGATTTTTTAAAAGAAACTTTTATTGCTTTGAAGGATCTACGAATTACGTATATCCCGTCGGCGTTTAAAACTGAACACAAGAAATACATTAAATTCCTTCGAAATGTACAGAGCTTACTATTAAGAAATTTAAGTTTTTTGAGTGGATTAGAATAAAATTTGTTTGAAAATAAAAGTGTGTAACCAAAGCACCCATAGTTTTTTTTATTAACGAACCCAATTTCCGTTTTATCCTCCCACAACTTCAATTCATCAAATAAAATTTGATTGACGTTAAAGTTTCACGTGTCTTAAATTGTGAATTAATGAAATTTCAAATAATTACCAACACATCATACGACATGCGTTCTACATGAATGTGAAATTTTAATAATAATAATAAAAAAAAACATCTTTACATACAAATTTTTACTTGCAACTTGTTAGTCAACATGTCAGTAGCTATATTCTTCTTTTATAAATTTAATGTAATTTGATTTGAATACAATTTGTTTTATAGGTAAACGTTATATTTCTACATATATTCAATTTTTATAAAAAGAAACCTGTAAACAATATTGTTTGATGTCCAAACATTGCATTAATTATGAAAATGTGGATATACTTAATGTAAATTTGAAACACTTCGTATTGAGCTCTTCAAACTTCCTTAAGAATATATGCAATTTAGAACATTTTCGGTCCTACTACTAAAACTATTATATTCCTTTAAAAGAAATCTATTTTTACAGACTGAAAACCCGTTACCAATAGAATAAAGCATAGATTCGAAAAAGTCCTTGAATTTATTACCTACGCAATATCTGCATGCATACACATACATATGTTAAAAACATAATATATTGTATGTAAAATCTATAACGTATGTATAAAAAATGTGTCCAGCATATATATGAACATATTGTGCTTCTTTCACATTATAACAAAACACGTGACACAATTCTTTTTCTATTCTAAAGTTTTTTATTTTTTTTTTCTTGATTTCTTTTTTTTTTGGTATTTTCTTAAATATAGCAAAATAGGCGAAAAAAACTGCACCAAATATCCTTTTTTAAGAATTTTGACTTTTTTGACTTTGAAAGAGAATAATAAATAGTGTGAAGATACACCTATGTACACATAACGTATAATACTTATGTAAGTCCAAATAGTTTGTTTCTATATGATAGGAGAAACAATAAAAGAGAGAGAAGAACTGAATGTAAATATCAAAAATATTTTTGTTAGACACTTTGACACTTTGTGACAGGAGTTTATGCTGAAAATAGAATATAACATGCAATCAATTGACATAATTAGAGCGAAGGTGAATTTTTATTCCTTTCTCAATTTCATTTTTGTTTCTAAACTGATTGAAAAACAGAATGAGAATAACAATATTGTAATTTTATTGAAGACAATGTTAAAAATCCGTAAGGATTATCTAACTAGATGAGGAACTTTGTACAGATGAAGATGGTTAAACGAAAATTGTATGTCATTAATATGCTTAAAACCACCAAAATGTAAGCTGATAAAGTAAGAAAATGAATTGAATTTCTTATTTTCATTTTTAGCTCAAATTTTATTTTATTGAAATGAAATTGCAAATCAACATGCTCAAATCTTAATTTGATAAAAAAATTAATTTGAAAGCTCGCACTTTCCTTTTTGTGATTTAACGTACGCATGTACTCGTACCTACAATTAAATATAATTCAACTGAAAATAATATGTTAAAGATTGAGGTTCCAACAAAATCAGTATAAATTTTCTTAAGTAAGCAAATTTATTTTGCGTGGTATTTAGTAAAAATTTAAGCCTATGAATTACATTTATATTTTTAAATTTTTTATGTTTATTTAAACTAAATTACTGAGTTAATCACGTACGTTTGTAAATGATTACGCTGAATAGCAATAAATTAAACTTTAATGCATACGGCTTTATTATTTTTACAAGCTTCAATATTTATATGAAATACAATAATAACATGGTTTCAAAAACTTCTAGTTTGAGATTATGCGATTGGAAAAGAAAATGTTTAGTTTTATTTTACATGATTCCAAGAAACCCTTAAACTGCAAGACTTTGTGAAAGTAGAAATTTTTTCAAAGAAATTTTCTAAATTATTCAAATAAAACTTAAACACATATTTAAATACTTTTTAAACACTTCTTGTACAACTCTAGAAGCTGTGGCATATACAAAACTATAATTTACAGTTAACAATTATGTATTGTTCAATTTTCATCTCTTAGATCTAGTAGTTTTTTTGAAATAATACGTAATAGAGTAAAAACAGGAAGAATGTAAACAAGTTTCGACTCTTAAAATATTATATACAAATCGGTGGTCTCCAAAATAATCACCACTTCATACATTTGGCAAATAGGCCTTATATAAATGTGGCGAATGCAGAACGGAATTTATATTTCAGTTGCGCGAATGCAGATTTGATTACCTTGCAATTTAAAATTAATTGTATATGTAAATAACATTACAAAATTGTCGCCTAGTTATTTATATAAAATTGTTGTTTAATTTTAATCGCATCACTGTATATATATTGAAAATTAAAATGAACTTCCCGAGATACAATAGTAACTTCAAAATTATTTTAAATAGCAAAAGTAACTTCAGTAATAATTTTACGTTTGCCTCTTACTAGTGTCAAATTTACTAGTGTCGCCTCAATATAAACTTGACATACTTGAAAAAATATTCTTGATTTATTATATTTAATGTGGCAATAGAAACTATTAAAGAATATCGTAAATCAGTTTAGATAAAATAAATGAAAATTCACTTTATATGTACCTATGAGAAAACCCATAAAATAAAAATTATTTATTAAAACTATATTAATTTTTTCAATTAATGGAACCGAACTTTCTAAATTTGAAATGAACTAAGAGGTCATACAAATTCTGAATTTTCCCAGCTGTAAATACTCTCAAAGTACCAAAGTAATAACTAAAAGCAAAAGAGAAAAAAAACTTGAAAACTCTTTAAAAAAATTTCCTGGAAATCCTTTTCAATTTTCTAAGTTCATGTCACTCCAATTAATATTTAATTTATATTCAAACAAAAAACAAAAATAAAAGCAAATAGCCAGAAACATAATCAAAAAAATATTTTAAAAAATTAATAAAATTTATCGTAAATTGGTTTTAACTAATTCTTTGTAATAAGTTCAAAAAATATGAAAAAGAAAAAATAAATAATAAAAAAAGAATTATTAACTGCCTTGAGCTGAAATTCTTCCTAAATTAATTATCTTATCAAAATTCCAGAATTCGCAAATTTAACGAAAACCACACCAGCGCGCTCTTCTTAAAACCTGATAATTTTCAATCAGTTTATAAAACTTTCTTTTCGTTTTTTTTTTCATATTTTTATTCTTACATTTTTTCTCCCTTTTTTCTTTTTATTTTCTTAATCCTTTTTTTTTTGTCTTTAACGTATTCCTTATTAGAAAAAATTCATCCTTCTTCTTATCCACTCTTCAAAAAGTTTGTTTTACTTTGATTTATTTCATTTCACCGATATGATCGTGAATTTTTATTTGGTGGAGGTCTTCATCAACCAATTGGTAAAAAAAATAATTTCCTAGAATTTCAAAATTTACATAAGTTTCTCAAATAAAACCAATTATGATAAAAAAAAATTATATTTTTTTTTCATTTTTGTTTTTGTTATTTTCTTTATATTTTCTAAACTACAATACATAATATTAATATGGTGAGTAACTGACAATAAAGATTATTAAAAGAGGGGACGATGAATAGCTTTTTTGTTGCTCTCTTGTCTTTATTAGCGTAATAATTTCATTCAACCATATATTTGTACATATGTATGTATATACACACATTGTTATGCGCTATTTTATGGGTTTAGTTTTAGTTGATGATTTAAGACGATTTCAGTGATTAACATATCAATGATTGACGAATCTTATAGTAAAAAACTTAACAGTTAACAAGAGGGCACTACAAAAAATTAAAATTTCTTCAATAGGTTTAAAACAAAGTAGAATAAAAATATCATAGAATTATGATTGAGCAAGAGAAATGCGTTACTACCGAAAATTGGATGTGCAAAATTTAATGCCATCACATAACCTCCTTTATTAGAAACAATGTGGTCGGTAAAAACTTGAAGACTCGAAGAATTTAAACTTAATGTACAAGTAAGTAAGTAGATTTGTAAATTTCTTCATAAGATGTACATATATATATAAATCATTACAGTATTAGCAAATAAACTATATAGAAATTAACGATCAAATCATGAAAGTTACTTACAAAATTATTTAAAAATTATTTAGACCATATAACCCCAACTATAAATTCCATATTATTTTTATACCTCAGATATATTGCATATACATTAGATAATTCAGAAGAGGAAGTTCTGTTTGTTTTTTCCCTTGGAATATATTCAATTAAAATTCTTAAATTATTATTACGACAGTAAATTATGATATTACAATAGTAATTATTAAAGAAGAGAAATAATGCGAATAAAAAAATTGTTATGTAAGAAAAAAGAGAGTAATGCGAGTATCCATCACTAACATGTTTTTGAGCGATGGTAGCAATAATGACGGGTTATGCTATTTTGAGATAGAGTAAGAAATCGTAAGTATGTATAATGTATACAACATGATATCATAAGATTAGCTGCT